GGGAGTGGCCTCTGTGGTGGACAAGTTGAGGGAAGCGAGACTGAGATGGTTTGGACATGTGAAGAGACGGAGCGCAGACGCCCCAGTGAGGAGGTGCGAGGTAATGGTGGTAGAGGGTACGCGGAGGGGTAGAGGTAGGCCCAAGAAGTATTGGGAGGAGGTGATTAGACAAGACTTGGCTATGCTTCACTTTACCGAGGACATGACTCTAGATAGGAAGGAGTGGAGGTCGCGTATTAAGGTGGAAGGTTAGTAGGGTTAGCGTGTTGCCGTCCCTCGCGAGGGTATGGGTTGTTAGCGTTTGGAGTAGTCCTAGCCGTATGTTGTTTACTGCGTTTCACGCATCGCATTACTTTCTTGTTGTTACTGTCTCATTTGTTGATTATACGCTATCGTTTGTATTGGCTGCTATGTTTTATATATATCTCTCATGTCACTTAGATTTGTTGTTCTTGAGCTGAGGGTCTCCCGGAAACAGCCTCTCTACCTCCACGAGGTAGTGGCAAGGTCTGCGTACAATTTACCCTCCCCAGACCCCACCTAGTGGGATCTCACTGGGCATGTTGTTGTTGTTGTTGTTGCTTTGTCTCAAAAATTTTAATGTGGAAAACTTACAGCTCACATAATTACCACTTTGACCGTGCCTCCTTAGTAGGTACAAATCCTGCACCTCATGGGGCATCTTCTCTCAAAATCATTACATTTGTCATGCTTCCTGATCAAGTTCTTCTTCAATTTGATTGTCAAAGTTTGGATCACTGATTCATTATCGTCTTAAATTTTACATCAAGTGAATACCAGTCTCACTTTCAGAAGAGCATTCGCTTGAAATTTATCGCTTACGAGTTGTACTTTATTAATCAGTTAATTTCAGATGGGAAAGGTTCAAATTGAATCTTATCTCAAATGAAATTTTGTCAGAAAGTTCTGAACATGAGCAAGACCATGTTTTCATCAAAATAAGTTCTTCTTTTCTGGTGTTTAATGGTTTTAATAGACCAGCAAGTTTTGTAACTATGTCAAAGTTTAAAATTTTTGGAGCTTATTATCTCCTCATTCCAAGTTTAGATCCTAAGAGATATTCTTGAAGTTTGAACTTTGACTTTCTGAGTTCACAGGAATCTGCTAATCCTCTTGGACTAAAGTAATAATCTAATTTTACGATCTGAAAAAACAAGGATGAGTTTTAATACTATAACAGTCTTCTGTGTGTGGGGCTGCTTTAAATACGGTGTTATGATACTATACTTTTTTTAGGAGTGTTTGAAAGGTTTTCTATGGAGAAAAAAGAGAGTTTTTTCTTTAAGCGTGCTAGTTAGCTATGGTGTTGTATCTTTCCTTGGTAAAGACTTAGGATTGAGTCCCTCAAGATGTCTTGGAAGTACAATCATGAACCTAGAGGGTATGCTCAAAAGTTGACATCCCGAAATGTAACTGGTTCTTTGAATATTTCACAAATTTTCAGTACATTGATGAGGAAAAAAAAAACTAGAGTAAAAATTAAAGGTTAGTCTTCAAATGTCAAGCAAAACGATGTCATCAACAAGTAGCCAATTGACTACAAGAACAACTAATTGCACATATGGTGATCAAAACCAACTATATATTTAAAACGAGTACTTTAAACTAAGTCGCGAAAATAAGTGCACACAAGAATCACACTTTACCAGAACTTGTAAGCAACTTTTGTCAGTCATTGTTTTGCAGAAAGAAGGAACCCTCTTTCTATGAATCAACAGGCAGTCCTTCTTGCACTTATCACATGCTTCATTCGCCCGTTCCATCTCCTCCGTATACAAAGTATGCTTCCCGAACAACTCTTAAATCCTACATAGCATATGAAACTCATGAAAATATCAACTAGAAGTTTAACTTTAGAAGAAAAAAAAACCCAATAAAAACAATAGATGAAATGGTGGACCAAGGCATATTAAGATGTCAAAAATAAATGATGCAACTCCTATCTAGGCAACTTGATGGTCAATCTCCCTTTAGCTGCTTCTTTCGACTACCTTTGTATTTTCAAGAATAGACCCGCGTAATCTAGTGTGGTAAGCGCAAACGGAACGTTATACACACAACATTAAACAACAAATTGAACTTGTGAATGCAGAAGCAGCTAACAAAGAGGGGGTGGTGGATCAAAATTCCAAGCAGATAATAGACTGAATCTTGATATGTGTAAAGCTCAAAAAAGATAAAGATAAGTACTACTACCTCCGTTTCAATTTGTTTGTCTTATTTTGACTTGCACGGAGTTCAGAAAAGTAAAAAATACTTTTGAATCTTGATATGTGCTAAAAAAGGAAAGTAGGACATTCATTTTGAAATGGACTATAAAGAAAAGTAGGAAAAACAAATTGAACTGAGGGAAATAATAATTTTTTTTAAAGACCGTGGTGTCTGGGCCAGCTTTCGTGCACCTCGACTAATTCCACGGGTTACCTGCCACCTCCCACCAGCAACAAGTAGAGGTAACTCTTGTCGGCTAGGACAAAGGGGAAGAATCACCTAGTGTTTTTTGTCTCTGGTGGGATTTGAACAAGGGAGTAACAATTAATGAAGTTTTGCCCAGATAGGTAACATAACCATGACCGTTCAATTACTAGGGTTGCGCCTCTCTTATATCGCCTACATTCATGTTATGGGGTCTAGTAATTCTAACAATCAAAGCAGAAACAACAAATGTTGCCGATCAAGGTATTAATGCAACTATGATCCTTCCATTTTTAAGGTAGCTCATCACTCAAATCAGCTATTAGCATTTTTCGACATACCCCCATTTTTGCAATTCATGGGTTTTAACGATTGAGAGCAGCTAAAAATCAAAGAAAAAATGCAGTACTAGAAATCGAATACAACGGAGAAGAAAGAATTAGTACCTTCTGGAACAGAGGAAACACCAGGGTGAGGGCAATCAAAACCCTTAAATAGGAGAATTGTAACCACCGTTTCTCACTTTCAATCAAGTAGCAGGGCTTTCAGTTGCACTGTCCAAAACACGACCTTTTTATTTCTTTTATTTGTCCGATACGCAGCCTTTTTATTCCTTTTATTTGTCCATGTACAGGCGCATTGTATATCATGAGTCAATATTAGTAGGATTCCAACAATCTCTATGTTGTAAATCGTGGCACACTCAATACAATGCACAATTTTAAAAAAATTGTCTCAAGATTGTATATAAATTATTCAAAGCAATTAACAAAATCACCTTTTTTACCGAAAAACATAATATGCATTAATCAAAGGCATAATATATAAACAAACACTCAAACTTGGCTTCAGTTGGCAAGTAAGCACTCCAACTTTGAGAGTGCACATCTAAACACCTCAACTTAGTCTCAACTGGCAATTTGAATCATTGTTGACGAATATAACAAAATACTTATATTTTTCCAATCATACTTAGCAGCCATTTGAATTGTTTTTGTTATTGACAACACTCAAGCTATTATGACTTCTCCAACAAAATGAATTGGACTACCACAGACATGAATCATATCACCATTAGCCTTCAAGGCTACCATCTGTACCAACACAAAGCACCACAACTCGGGAGAAAAAATAGTAAATTAACGTTAACAACATCTCGAATAGCATTTAACATTATTCACCTAGTTATAAATTCGTCAAATCAAACAAGGCTTTGGATAATACATCACCTTTCACTCCATAGAACTGAATTTAAAAATACATCTATTACTAGCCTTTCAAATCCACACTTGTGGGCTTACACGGGATATGTTGTTGTTGTTCTACCTTTCACATCATCCATAAAATAGATATGTACTGCCAGTTACATCAGAAATAAAAACTAAACTTCCAAAACTAATTTTTTTCATCAAGCAACAAAATATAAGATATCATGCAAATTCGGCCTAAGTGTCGGGGTCATCTTTTACATGACATACAAATGAAAAATGTGCTCTAAGGTTTCAGGCTCCATTCCACAAATATGACAAATTTCATCTATAGAATAATTTTTTTTTTGCAGTAACGTAATTAACGTGCAATGTATTAAAATCACTTCTCGTTAAAACAATTACAACTTGATTTTTGCTCAACCCATAACCAGAAGTCTCGGGTTCAAACCCTGGGTATGGAGAAAATCGTGTTGCTCTGTCAATCCTGAATGGGCCCTGCAATGTGCGATCTAGATTTAGTGGAAGATCCATTGTGGGCTCCGGACACTGAGTGGGAAACCAAAAAAAAAACCCTGCTTTTAATCTTTAAAGGTCATAATTGGCTTCAGGATATGCACGAGAACTACTTTCTAGACTATTAGAGTTACTAATATACATGGACTATGGCTTTTATAGGATCATTCAAAATTCTAAGTCACACTTGAAATAATATGTTAAAAGATAAAAACTATAAAAAAGTATAAGAAATATTTATAAATGTCAATATAGGTTGTTAGATAACACTCATGGAATCCAAGGGAAGAGATGTTTCACTTTCTTATCAGGTCTCTTTATATTTGCTCAAAGGCCAAGAAGCTCCAAATGCTCCCACTGGTTGTTGGATCTTGCAACCCTTGGAACTTCCTAGAATCATGACAGACGTTGAAAGAGAAGCTTAGGGAAAAGTTCCTTAGTTCTGAAACTTCGAAGACTAAACATGATTCATGGGAAGTTATACTATCCTGCCTGTCCTGTTTTCCCAAATTTTGTTTACCCTTTTCTCCTCTCCTAGTTAGATGTTTGGACATCCACCATTGAAGTAAGAGGTTACATCCTTGGAAAAATCGGTGTCTATTCTTGCATCGACTTAAGAACTGATTGATATCGGCTAGAATGACCAAAACTATATTGAAATACTTCTTCTCCTGATTTGGCTCACCAATGTCATGGAAAATGGCATGTGTAGTCATGACAACTCTAGAATCAATTTCATTTTTCTTATCCTGGGAAACACCATGGTTCCAAAAAGCAAATAGAATGTTAAGGCATGAGTGCTACTCCAAGTGGTGTAATCGTGAATGTCACGACCCGAGCCTATAGCCTGAATGTGGCCGGCACTCGAGAACCATTGCTGGCCCTCAAGCGAACACTCATCCTGGCTAACTACAAGCGAAAGACTAATTCAAGCATACATAAGCATCAAATTGAAAGAAACGTTTAAAACAGTTTATTGAATCTCAAAATTTCGCTGAATATATTGAGTATGAAACATAATTTTAAATAAAATATTTGAAACTGAAAGACTCTCCAAAACTGTCTATCTATGAAGCCTCTACAATACAAAGATGAGTGTCGGGACAAGACACGCAACTCCTCAAGGGAACTACTACTAACAACTCATAAAAATAGAGTCCTCTAAAAGCAAAGAGGTCTTACTCAAAAGCTGACGAGCAGATGAAGTGATCTCAACGGACTCTTGTTGAGGATTCTAAGAACCTGTATCTGATGCAGGTCGAATGACATCAGTACATTGTATGTACGAGTATGTAATATAGCTGAATAACAAATAACTGAATTGATATAACTGTAATAGATAAAGCATAAACTCAACTGAATGTAAAGGGTTAAAGGAATGAAATCATTTAAAACTTAACAAAAACGCCTCGACATAATAAGTGATATAATAAAAATACACTTTTAACTCTATTAGGGAGATTCTCTAACCGACAACAATCACTAAGAGCTAAGTAATGATACAACGTCTCACCCACGCTACCGAAACTAACCTACACCTTGCCGAGGTATAGAACACCTCAATTAAGTGGATCCACTAAGCTCTGCCCGAAGGCACTTATGATTCATCTAAAAAGTATGATCTTGTACTCATGTTGGCATACATGGTTTATTAGGAAAGTGAGTTGTCTGAACTCATCCCCATATTGATGCTCAATACTATTCTCAATAATATATATTCATGCTCAATGTTTAAAAACATACTCTTTCTCTGGTTTGAGATAATTGTTCAAACTATCCTTTTAAAAGAGGTAACTGCTCTTGAAATATCTTCTGAACTCATAACTCATTTAGAAATCAAAGTTTCTCTTTTATCATTGTAAAAACTAACACCTTTGGGGAATACTTAGTTCCCTTATACTCTTACTCAATTCATACATGAAAACTCGTTCTCAAAAATATATCAAAATCATATTGTAATATGATCATTGATGATCCGAAAAGTCATACTGCATAAACATTGATGGTATATCGAGATATCATACTGCTTAAATATTGATGGCATACTCGATTGTCATACTAATCATGTTTTAGAAACTCTTTCTCAAAACTCATCTTTACTTTCTCAAAAACTCAATTTAAAACTCAAGTGTTGGCTTTAAAAAAATTCTCAAGATTTATAACTCATTTCATAAGGTTTATGCGGAATTATGGACATGAACGACTCAACTCAGGGATCTTAATAGCAATGTAGAAAACTTAATACTCTGAACTCAAGAACTCATAACTCAATGATACTACTCATCTCAAGAATACTCAATTAATAGGGTTCATGTTGAAATATAGACATGAACGAATCAACTCAAGAATCTTAATGCATAACATATAACAATTCAATAATTTGGAATAGAATTTCAAAAGAATAAGGAACTCAAGAACTCAAATCTCATCTCAAAATACTCAAATCTAGGGATAGAATCCTAGATTACTCTTTCACTGATTTAAAAGTAGATGTAGGGCATGAGGACGAACTAGTCCAATACTATGATAGCCTTATATACCTGAAAGAACATGGTTCTTGAAGAATCTTGAAAAAGAATTTGAATAGAATCCCTGAAACCCTAGCTTGAAGGAGAACAATCAAGAAAACCTTTCTTGAGATTCTTGAATAATTTTCTTGAAATCTCTATGGCCAAGAATTACGATTTTCATTAGTGATTCATAATTGTACAGAGGAATTTGAGTTGGAAAGAATGGAATTCTTGGAGAAAGACTTACCTTGAAGAAAAATCTTGAAAAAGATTGGAAGAATCTTGAATGGAGTCTTATACTTTGATTTTGCCTTAGGGTTTGAGAGAGAAGAGAATGATGAATTAAGAGATGAAAATCTTATTGTTTTGGGTCTTTAATTAGTCAAAAAAATTGTTTAGGGTTTTCTTAAGAGGTAAAAAGACAAAAACGACCCTTTTTAATGTTTTTCCGTCGGCTAATTCTTCACTGCAGTGTATCAGGTTACTAAAATGGTCATAACTTTTTACTCAAAGCTCGAATTGTTGCGAAATTGGTGGCATTGGAAAGAAGATTCAAATACCTTTAATTTGATAGGTTATGGGCCACGTAATTCTTTATATTCTAAGAGATATGTGATCGTTTGAAGTTGACCCAAAAGAAATCTTACATCAAAACTTAATTAGTAAGGAAACTTTCAACTCTACTTTGTGCTAGAAGTTTCTAGTGACCTTAATTGATATCCAAAATCATTCTCACACTAAAGAATTTACCTTCACACATATGGGCAATTTAAGAATCACCCTATATAACCCTACAAGTAAATGAAGTAGTTCTTATGTCTGCAACGTTTGGGGTGTTACAGTGAAATTCATTAGGGAACCTCTAGAAGTAGTTCTTATGTCTGCAACGTTTGAAGAACCTCATAAATGGAATGTTTGAAGTGTCTAGCCAATTTGCTTGCACCGTTAGGACCATATTCCTCTGGGAGTTTTTTCGCCCTTCGTCACATTGTTGATGTCAACCACATAGGACTTCTCTGTCTCCTTGCTTTCACTACATGTCCTTTCTAAGTCTGAAGTAATTGCAACTTTTCCCTGAGCTTCTCTTTTAGCAATTTTCATTCGGTTAATTGGAAGTACCTTCTGAAGATGTTAGAGATGATGGGATTTGAACAGAAGTGGTTGAACTAGATCAGCTTTTGCATTTCTACAGTTAGCTTCTCTATTCTGATTAATGGGTCTCTGTAGGTTTCTTTCAAACTTAAAAAGGACTCAAGTAGGGTGATCCATTGTCTCTTTTTCTGTTCTTAATTACTATGGAGTGACTAAATAACATGATCAAGGCAACCAATATGAGAGGATGTATAAAAGGTTTTGATATGGCTAGAGAGGAAACCAAAAGCTTGGAAGTGACATCTTTAGTTTGCAGATGATACACTGATTTTTTGTGGAGCTTAGGAAGACCAATTGAAGTACTTAAGGGTGATCTTGGTGTTGTTTGAAGGTGTATCCGGGTTGCACATTAACCGGAGAAAAAGCTTTATGCATCCTATTAATGAAGTCAACAATATGTACTTGTTAGCTTCAATCCTGGGTGAAGCAAGTATTCTACCTACAACTTATTTAGGTATGCCATTGGGAACAAAATCCAAGTCCTTAGAAATTTGGAATGGTGTGGTAGAGAAGTGTGAGAAGAAGCTGGCCATATAGGAAACTCACTATCTATCAAGAGGGGGAAGACTAACCCTCATTAGTTCAATTCTTGATGCCCTCGTAACATACATGTTGTCTCTATTTCCCATCCTAGCAAGGATCACTAAAAGGCTAGACAACATAAGAAAGAAGTTCTTATAGCAAGGAAACAAAGAGAATATAGGTTTGCATCTAGTAAAATGGAATGCAGTGACAACTGGAAAGAAGAATGGTGGTCTGAGAATAAAGAATTTGAAGCTTCATAAGCACTCTTAAGGAAGTGGCTGTGGAAATACTCAAATGAAAACCAAACACTTTGGAGAAGAGTGATATGTACCAAATATGAGGATGAAGACAATTGGATGACTAAGGTTGTGACCACACCTTATGGGACCAGTTTACGGAGATCCATTAGAGTCTTATGGGAGGAAGTTAAACCCAACTTCAAGATGAAAGTAGGGAATAGGAACAAGATCAAATTTTGGAAGGATGAATGGCATGAGAAAGGTAACCTGGAAACCCTTTTCCCTGATAGTTATAATTTGGCAATGTTCCAACAAAGGACTATTGCAGAACTCTTGACACCACAAAGGTGGAATTTCATCCTCAAGAGACAGCCAAATGACTGGGAAGTGATGACATTGATAGAACTCCTCAACATGGTTGTAAACTTTATGTAACACCTCGGATTTCAAAAAAGGAATAAGTGCATGAATTTTTGGATACTGGCTCAGGTCTATGAGACCAGTCTACGGTTCGTAGAACTTTCTACAGGTCGTAGACCAGTCTCGTAGAAATAGGGGAGATAATTTTTGAAAATCCCCAGTACCTTATCCTACGGCTGATCCGTCGTATGGTTTACGAATCGTAGATGTGTTCCATAGAAGCTATCCAAACTTGAAATTTTGGGGTTAAAGTGGAGTTTTATGGTTAGGATCTATAGACCGTAGGAAGTCCTATGGACCATCGAAAGGTCTCGTCAAAACTTGGGTGATTTTAAGGTCCCACTACTTGGTCTACAGTTTACCAAGTCTGTAGGTCTGACCTGTAGACTAGTTTGGTATTTAATTCTTTAGGGGCTTTTGGGTCATTTCCTAAATGTTTTAAGACTATACTATTCCATTTTTGCTTCTATCCCTATATAAAACTTTAAGTCCTAAATCTACCCACTTAAAACCCATTCTCCTATTTCCCCAAAACTCAACCAAATTCACCCTCATAAATTCCTCTGAACCTAAGAAAGAAGAAGCTAGGGTTCACTCCAAGGTCTTCCATTCACCACTCATTTTGGACTTTGAGTAACAAGGTATGTGAATATTTACCTATAGAGTCCATTCCTCCATGGAGTCCTAAGGTTTTCAATTTCTCAATCCAATTTCAATTGATCAAATTAGGGTTCTTCCTAGTTCTACATGGTTTCATTCAATTATGATTTTTATTGTTGATTAGTCTTCTATTGCATGATTTGATGTAAATTACATGATATCTAGTTGATATTATATGAACCCAAGCATGATTTATGACTTTTAATTATGAACTTATTCAAAATTCATGAACTATGAATTTCGAAGAATTATGCATGTCTTATGAAAATGATGTTTATGATGATAGGGTGCTTTTAGATGAAAGTATCAATGGTGTTGTGAAAGGTTTTCTCATATACGAATATGATCATGATTGTGAAAGTATTTCTCACCTATGGATTCACATTGGTGAAAGGTTCTCACCTATGGTTGAATTGTAATTTAAGGAGCTATTCTATGTTTTGATCTTTAAGATATGCATTGGTATTGATCATTGCCTTTGATTTTATCTATTCCGTTTGAGATTTAGACTTAGCACCGAGAGGGCTTTGAGTTGGAGGCTCAAATAGGGTAGTCTTTAGTAGCAACCTCTAGTCCCTAACTACATGCCCCCGTAGGATTGTCTTAAGTGACCTAGCTAGTGGATCCACTTTAATAAAAGATGATGTGTACGGATTCTACCTTGGCAAGTAGAATCTCATTCTTTCGGTATGAGGGATATACCGGATTCCAATTCTCATGGTCTTATTGTCGATTAAAGCTAATATCCCACAAATACGAATATGTTTCTTCAAAGCTTTCTTAGGTCTTTTATTTCAAATGTATTGACCATATCTTATGATTTATATGTTGTTGCTCCTCTAAGCTTTTGAATGATTAAATATTGGTCATGCAACATGATTTAAGCTATTCATGCTACCATGTCTATTTTATGCATATTGTCCCATACTTGGTACATTCCATGTACTAATGCATACGTGTGCCTACATTGTCTCATTAATGTAGGGTCCAACGCTTCTACCTCTCACACTTGTGGCTAGTTGATCACTCTATCGAATTCAAAAGTTTGTGAGTCCTCATGTTCCGAGGCCTTATATAGTTTTCAGATGATGTATGTGGTATATGGGATACGTCCCAACCACTTATTTTGATGTTTAGATGGCTTGTTGAGACTATGTTATACTTCCGCTTTGTCAAACTTTTCTATGTTGATGAAAATGTTTCTTTTGAAATCTATAATTCTTTTATCTTGTATGATGTATTCTAAGTGGCTTGTGCAGGGTCTTTTGGGGTTCTATACGCCATGTTACACCTAGGGTATACTTTGGATCGTGAAACTTTACTGGACTTTAGGCAAATGGGGATATGCTTTGGTGGAAAGGCAACAATAGAGGAGAGTCAAAGTACATTCAGCTTACAGGTAGATGGATCAATCAAGCCAACAGAGCCCCATCTGGCCTTGAAACAAATATGGAAGTGTAGAATTTCACACAGTTTCATGCTTTATTTGGCTGCTAGCTAAAGAAGCTACCCTGACTCAGGACAATGTAATGAAAAGGGGGATAACCTTATGCTCTATGTGTTTCCTATGTGGGAAACCTTAGAAACTGTAAACCATCTATTTCTACATTGCAAATATATTCAACAGCTTTGGAGGATTTTCTTGAGCCTTAAAGGCATAACCTGGACTATGCCTAGGAGAGTTACTGAGGCCTTATATAGCTGGGAGGAGGCAAGTGTCCTTGCAAAAGACAGAATTAGATGGAGAATCATCCTTGCTTCAATATGATGGGCAATCTGGAAAGAGAGAAATTCCAGATGTTTTGAAGGCAAAGAAAAAAGTGTGCAGGAAGTTAAACTGAACTACATTTTGTATGTTTTTGGTGTAAACAATTATACTCAAAAGACCCTGCTTCTATAACTCAATATAGAAATAGAGAAGTGGAGTCTGGAGTGCATTTGTATATAAGGTTAGAGTACATCTCAAAAGTGCATTTGTATGTACTTTTGTGATATAATACAAAGTTACCAAGTTCAAAAAAAAAAAAAAAGTTCCAAGGGCAGGGCTGCAGGATCCAACTCCCAGCAACCAATGGGAGCATTTGGAGCTTTTTGACCTATGAGCAAATAAGAAGGGACCTGATAAGAGAGTGAAACATCTCTTTCCTTGGAATATGAAGATATTAGGGTCCAAATGCTGATGGAATACCGACGTGAAGCAGCTACTTTGACTAATGAAATAACAGTGACACCTTCCTTCTCAGTGCAGTTGCCAAGCACTTCCGCCATATCATAGTTGTGTATCATATCATTTGAAGTTAGCACATTCCATTTAGGAGACCAATGCATGTACAGAGCCCAAACATGCCCCTTTCTAGAGAAAATTTGGATAACACCTCCAGCCCCTTTCACCCACTTGACCTAGTGGGAAAAAGAATTGAGCGTCTTATTGATTTCTTGCTTGCCTATCCTGAAATCTCTACTGGTCTTGAGGAAGCCAGAACCAACCCAATTAATTGGGAAGAGTTTGGAGTTGTTTTTGGAGTTCAACCAGCTCAATTGCACTTTCAATGGATTTTTAGATATCATATAGCGAATCAGAGCATAATAGTGTGGCATGCCATCATCAGTATCATAAGCAGCCCAGACTTGATTCTCATCAAAAGATTTTTCCAGTCTATCCTTGTCGAAATTATGGAAGTCAGGATCTGGAACAGTCATTGACGTAGCTTCTGGTTCTAAATCAAACAGAGCACTAAAGACCAGCCATTTTTTCTGCTCGTATGCTATTTTGGATCCACCACAGCATCATGAGCAGTTTTATCCCTTCTTAGATCATTTTTGATAACTTCACGTGCAATTTGCTTCTTCTTTTCCACTTCTCTTTCCTTCTCAGATGAAGTTTGAGAAGTAGCATTTGTGCTCCATTCTTTAAGCTTCTTGGTGATCCATCCTAGCCTTTTTCGCCAGCATACTGCGAATTTCTAAATTGGACAACTCCCCTGAACTCCTGGGCTTGTTACTTACCACAATGGTAGCCCTCTCTGCTCTCAAAACACCATTTTCATTTCCATGCATGTTTTCTTGGCTGCTAGATTCACCTTTTGCAGCCAATTCATTTACCATTCCTTCTCTTTGAAATTTTGACTTCAACTCATCTATGCATCTCTTTTATATTAGCCTATCAGCTTCTGAACAAGTGGAAACTGAATCAGGAACAAGACCTGCATCAGTTTTTCATGAATGAATTGTTTTTCTTCAGAAAAGTCTCCTGGCACACAGAGCTGCTTCTGCATTAGCTCTCTTCAAGTTTCCACCAGCTGGCTGGCCGGGGTGTGCAGCTTGCCCAGCTGTAGTGGCATGCACACTATTTGCATCGCTCTTCTTAAAAACTTGATCCTTCTGAATGTTTGCTCTAATTGTTGAGCCAAAGCCAGAATAACCAGATTGTACTGTACTGAATTTGAAGCTGTAGGGATCTTCACACCTGAAACAGAAAATCTAATGGAAGCAGGATAGTTTGTACCCTGCTGCTGCTGGCTGGAAGACCACGAAAAAGAAGCAGCTTGAATTTTCATGGGAACACCTACCACCCTTGCCCTAAAGGGCCGGTGACATTTGGGGCACATAATACTTTTGTTTAGGTGACGCTTTAAGTATTCATTAGGCATCTGGCGTGTATTGCAAGATGTCCAGAATGTTTCAACTTTTGATGTCTGGGAGCCACTGGGGTGGGCTGGAAATTAGCATTTGTTGAGTTTCTTGCACTTGCTCGGTTCATGGAGAAATTATGAAATTCGTGCCGATTGCGTTGCATGGATGCATTCCTCGTAGCATGCGTATTGTCATCCATCATTCTTTTGGTTCTATCATAAAACAAACTCCACGCTTCAGATATAATCTTAAACGCCCCATCTGCCCCCAACAGATTTATTTTTATCAAGGTGAAGAGCTAGAGCAAGCCTTCAGTAGTGTTTCCTTATTGTTTCATCATTAGCTGAGAGCTCGAGAGAAAGAACACTGTAAATATCCACTTCACCATAAGTCTTTTTATCATGAGCAACATAAACAGCCACCACCTCCAGGAACTGAGAAAGACCATCAAGGCCTGGAAACCGATTTTGAGCCTTCAAAGCAAAAATTTTGAGCTCCAGCAATGTCTTTATTACATTCCATTAGCCTACAACTTTGGCAGGTCACAAACAAGAAAACTTTATTGTCTCCTTCAGATTCAACCAGCAAATGGAGCAACACTCGACGACCTGGCTATCGTGTGAAGTTTATTCACATAAATACTATGGAGATTAACTAACTGTCTTCAACTCTTCAAACCCTGTAAAACAAACATTACAAAAATACAAGTCACTAAAACTACAAACTTGAAAGCTGAAAATATTTTACGGTCCCTGTTATGGATCTAGTTATGGGACGTTCCAAGACAAAATCAGAGTTTATGAAGGTGAATTAGGAGTCTGGAAAGATGTTTCCTTCCTTAAATTATTTTCGATATTTAAAATCACATCCTAAGAAAATTTATGAACTTCTGACTAAAATTTACTTCATTGAATAGATGAAACTTCAGATTTGACTTCGTCATAATATCTGAAATCTATTTCAGATTTAGTTAACTTTGACTTTCTTACTAAAAGAATGCAACTAATAAGGAAAAAAAATTAGTGTTGAAGATTTTCTTTCTTGGTTTTCGGGTGAAGGCACAAATAAAGATCACGATCTACTAACTTCCTTTTCTATTTTTTGAATATCAAATTGAAAATACTATTTATGAGGTTTTCCGTTTTCCTTCTTTTTTAAGAATAAAGTCCTTACTCCTTAGTATTCATTTACCTTAACTTTTTTAAATTAACATTAGTGGCAATGAAGTTAGCTCTTAGTTGTTGATTAAGTATCAATTATTAAGTTTTAATGACTGGTATATGATTAAGCCATGTTTTGCTACTGTTGAACAAAGAGCTGAGCTATATACATTAACTGTAATTTTCCTTGCGAATATTCTTCCTTATATTTTTGTTTTCAATCTTTTAAATCACATCTTGAGAAAAGTTAGGAATTTCTGACTATAAAATTTACTTCCTTGAATAGACAGGACTTCATATTTGACTTCATCGTAATATCTAAAATTTATTTTAGATTTAGTTAACTTTGACTTTCTTACTTAAAAAAATGCAAGTAAATAAAGAAAAAAAGACACTAGGTTTTTTGGTGAAGGTGCAAATACTAATATTTAGATCACGATCTACTAACTTCCTTTTCTATTTTTTGAATATCAAATTGAAAATACTAATTATGAGTTTTTTTGTTTTCCTCTTTTTTCAAGAATTAAGTTCTTATTTTTCATTTACCTTAACCTTTTCAATTAACAGTGTGACAATGAAGTTAGCTCTTAGTTGTTGATTAAGTATCAATTGTTAAGTTTTAATGACTGATATATGATTTAGCCATGTTTTGCTACTGCTGAATAGAGCATTGGGATATATACATCAACTGTAATTTTCCTTGTTAAAGTTATTTTATTATATTTTCTTCGGTCTTTTAAATCACATTCTGAGAAAAGTTTTGAATTTTAGACTATAATTATACTTCCATGAATAGATAGGAATTCATATTTAACTCCATCATAATATCTAAAATCTATTTCATATTTAGTGAACTTTGACTTTCTTACTAAAAGGACACAAGTAAATAAGGGAAAAAAATAGTGTTGAACATTTAGGTTCTTGGATTTTTGGTGAAGTTACAAATACAAACATTCACATCACCATCTACTAACCTTCTTTTCTATTTTTTGAATATCAAATTGAAAATACTATTCATGACGTTCTTCTTTTTCCTCCCTTTTCAAGAATGCAGTCCTTAGTTTTCATTTACCTTAAACTTTTTTTAACTAACATAGTGACAATAAATTTAGCACGCACTTAGTTGATGATTAAGAATCTGGTGTAAAGTTTTAATGACTGATATACGATTTAGCCATGTTTTACTACTGTAATAGAGAGTTGGGCTATATACATTAACTGCAATTTTCCTTGTTAAAGTTCTTCATTATATTTTCTTCAGTCTTTTAAATCACATCTAAGAAAAGTTTTGAATTTCTGACTATAATTATACTTTCTTTAATAAATAGGAATTCATATTTTGACTTCATCATAATATCTAAAATCTATTTTAGATTCAGTTAACTTTGACTTTCTTACTAAAACAATGCAAGAAAATAAGGAAACAAATTTAGTGTTGAACAATTTGATCCTTGGTTTTTTGGTGAACATGCAAATAATATTCAGATCACCATCTACTAAATTAATTTTCTATTTTTTGAATATCAAATTGAAATACTATTTATGACGTTTTTATTTTTCCTCCTTTTTCAAGAATGAAGTTAGAATTGAGTTGTTGATTAAGAATCTGGTATAAAATTTTAATGACTGATATATGATTTAGCCATGTTGTTGCTAATGCTGAGCAGAGAGTTATATTACTCAATGCTTCTACAAAAGGTCTAAGACTGCAATTCTGCAGAAAATAGCATGAATTCTGATTAACCTAAACTGGAGGGAACAATGTTTTATATCAGAGTGATCACGTTTTCACTCAGACACTGTCCAAAATATAGAAGTTGGGACTCAAAACTATAAGTTACAACTTGTTTTTATCTGATCATTTCCCATATGTGGGGAATAACCTGACATACAAAATAATGTCTTTTGAGAAACCTTCTATGCTGCTTAATATTAAAGCTACTATCTCTTTACATTCACTAAGAAATGACAGAAGCAGATAAGAATTGTAAGGAAGAGAAGGAACAAATGCATTCCCATTACTTTAAAAATGTAATAGTGATTATGACATATGATCAAGAATTACAGATGACTGAAGGGATGGCAAATGAGCGGGTTGGATCAAAACGAGTCAGAGTAATTACTGGGTCAAGATGGACCAAACATCAGGTCATAACCCAAATTTCCCCTCTTTTTAAACATATCATAGTTATAACAAATGCGGGAACTCATTAATGTATTGCGTTAATGAAACTGGTAGTATGTATTAGAGTGCACCCATGTTTATGATTCAGTGATTTATCTATGTCAGTGTGATTTTAATCTAACGAATTAGACTAATTGTGCCATCCAAGCTTTGCAAAAAAATAAAATAAAATTGTGCTTATTTAGTTATGTTGAGATTGCAGAAATGATGGAATTAATGGAATCATAATTACCCTAGTCACCAAGTTCCGCGTCTATATCATAGTCCACTAGGTAAATTGCCCACTAGGGTTACTAATCATCCTATAGCCAATAAGCCTTGGCGGCTCCAACATACCACTATAGCAAGGAGCAATAGTCAAAACATTAAAGGGCATAAAGACAAGTGATTAAAGTCAAACAACACAACTGTTATGCGAGAAGTAAGATAAGTTTATTTTACACTAAAAACCAGAACTCCCTAAGGTGCATTCAAATTTGAGAGGACCTGTAGCATTAGTAACTCAGCTTCCATTGTGCCTCTTCAACAGACGACTTGATCTTTAACTGCAACAAGATCAAATAGAAAACTTAATACAAACAATTAACAAATTGAACCATATGAATGACAAATCAGTGTCTTGTATCCTCAAACAGAATCATATGAAAAAACTACAGCAAATAAATAGAAAAATTAGCTGATTAGTCTCACAAGTACAGCAACATCTAGAAACTACTCATCAATAGAAAACTGTGAACTGAGAACATTTTTTTAGAGACCACATAGTCAACCACAGCAATCGTGTCATATGAGAACTAAGATGCCAACATTTTTTTTTGATAAAGTCTAAGAAGGCAAAATCGTATCAAACAAATCAAGACATGCCACAAATCTGTGAAATAACAAGAATACAAGCGGATTACTGAATAGGGATTTAAGAGAGGGGTGGAATAAATAGGGCAATGGATAGAGGTTGTTACAAGGATAAGTTCAGTATCAAAGAATGAAAGCACAAGGATGGTGGTAAAGTCACCATGAACTAGCTATACTATAAACAATCTACATCAAATTTCCCCATGCATTTTCTCTATCAAGTAATAAATGTTGTACATAAATTTACAGAGTAATGAGAAGAAGCACGGCACATGACACACATCAGAAGATGAACACCAACCAGCCAAGTGGGAAAACCTTAAACCACATGAGCTTCTAGTCATCTACCATGAAGAGAAAGTGGGTGACGCGCTAACTGCTCATGCAAAGTCCCAAACATTTGGTACCATAGCCGCCCTAGTTTCTCTTTCTTGTCATTCACGCTAACGACAGAAAAGGAGAAAAAAAATGGTTATAACTAACCAAATCCAACTATCCTAGTTCTTCGGATATACTCTGGATTTACTTTCCTCTAAGACATACTCTTGAGCCAATGGGGTTAGAAATGAATTTAATCCCACTTTACCTACCGGCCACGTGTTCAATATGCATTAGCATGACCAATAATTACTGGTGTACTTTGCAACACCGATAAAGACATCAGATATCAGTTGTTTCTCAGGATGGTTTTTCAGTACTTAGTACTTGCTGAAATACAAATGTTAAGTTTCAAAAAAATAATAATTAAAAGTTTCAAAAATAAATAAATACAAATGTTATCAAAAGAAAAATCAGTTGTTTCTCAGGATAATAGGTAACACCGTAACGGTTATGGATGGCATATCCCAAGCATGCATATATAACCATTGCATTGGTAAGAAAATTGAAACATACGCTTTGGCTCCATCTTGGCATCAACAGCAATAATGTTTGCCACTGTGAGGAAACTTGTGGTTTCCAATTAAAAGAATCAATCATGAACTCCTTTATAGTATACAGTATCAAACAATCGTGTGAAAGCATATCTATCTATTGCTATAAATTTGGATACGACAAAATCCACATATGCCAAATCATTTTCTCCACTAATGCAAAATACAGAAGAAGTCATTGATGAAAGTCTAGACAGTGCAACATCAATGAGAGATTGCAGAAAAAGAATTGTTTTTAAAAGTAGAGAGAGTGCAAAAAATTATACAAGTACTGCACTTGAAATTAGTTAAGAATTAAGATTTCCCTAAATGCAAGAAGGCAAACATATAAAAACCGAAAATGTTTGTAGCTACTATCTGATAGAGTGAAATAAAAACAAACAACAAAAAAAGTTGCAGTTTTAACAGCAAACCCCTTGAGCGGAAACTTAGTGAATACTTTTTCCATTGAGACAAACCCCTCCGGCGGAAAACGTTCCCTTTGTCAGTTCTCAGAAAAAGAAGAAAGTTACCACCTTGAACGAAAATGGAATAAAGCAATGGACTTAACCAATTAATTAATTTTTTTTGTAAACCTAGGTGTGAATTAAGGAAATGACAAAGTTACCTTTAAGGACCAAAGTTACCCTGTCCACCGTTCCCTCCACCAGCATTGGAATTATCACCAGCAGGCTGCCACGCCTGCAATGGAGGCTGAACGTACACTGAAGGAGCAACCACAGGCATAGCAGGTCCTCCTATCATCACCTCAGGCATAGCAGGCCCTCCTAGCATCGGCCCAGGCATAGCAAGCCCTCCTGGCATCACCCCAGGCATAGCAGGCCCTCCTAGCATCACCCCAGGCATAGCAAGCTGTCCCATTGGTGGATAAAAGTAGGGAAAACCACCACCTGCTGTGGGCCCCACCATGCCAGGCCCAAAACCAGTAGCCACTTCATTGATCTCATCCGCAGGGACGACGTCAGCAAGGAAATCAAAAATCTCAGTCCGCCTAATAGCGGCAGCGAAGTCAGTTTTCTTAAGAGTACCACGGTTGTTTTCCTGGGCGTGAAACCAGGAACGAAGAGTGAGCTCCAGAACAAAGAGCTCACATGCCTTTGAAAACAAAATCGGTGTTTCAGCAGACACCTTGAGGACATTGTTTTCAGATTTTATAATCCTCTTGATCCTGGAAATGGGAAACTGGTGATGCTTAAAATCATCCAGCTCCTCAATTTCTTCACGCTGGCAGTTCCAGAAAATCCTCATTTGCTGTTCCACCTGCTGCTGTTGCTGCAGCTGCAGCTGTTCATGCTGCTGCAGCATCAGCATTTGGTGGAAGGGGTAACCAGGGTACAGAGGCTCCGCCGATTGTTGATGATTGTTCTCCATGGGTTTTTGGTAGAGGAGCGGATTTTTCTATGTAAAACTGTTAACACAGACTGAGAAATGGAAGAATGAAGAAGAAAACTACGTACTCATTAAGCTTTATTGCAGATTGTGACAAATTTGGATTGTAGCTTTACTCGGATTTTAGGCTTCATGTATGAACTGTATTTTGGGTTTTAGTGTGAGTTCACACCAGTTCTCCTTCCCCAGTTTAACTCTTTCCCATTTTTGCCATTTTCGGAAAAGGAAAAATCACTGGTGTGTTCACACACGTTTCTGCGTCTCTTTATTTTCCTATTTTTCTCTAAACAGCAAATATTATTGTAGTACTCCTCTATTTCAAATTAATTAAATTGTTTGAGATATTTTTTATTTTTTAAATTAATTTAATTATTTAGTTTTTAAGATTGTTTTTCGAATATTCTTTCAATTTTATCCTTCATTAGTTAGTATTGAAATTAGTGATTAAGTAATATTTAGTTATTTTAATTATAAATTTTACATAATTAATGAGGGTAAAAATGGAAAGTTATATCTAATTTATGTCTTAATCTTCTTTTCTTAAAGAGTGTGAAACACCTCAACAATTCAATTAATTTGAAATGGAAGGAGTATATTCTTTTTTTAGTAGAAAGGATATTATATATATATATATATATATATATTTATATTTATAATTAAAACATTTAACATTACATTATCACAATTAATACCCATAGATTGTCAAGACGGGCTAATTTATTACATGTAGTTTGTAATATTAGTTTATTAGATAGTACTTCTTTTTTATTTGCCTTGAGGAACTCGTTAATAGTGTTAGGAGGATTCTTTTAAATATTTTTTTTCATTATCATTATTTTATTGATTGATTATTTATTAAAGTTTTAATTCTTCATTTATGGATTCTTCGATATTCTTTCTCTAATCATATAATAGTATATGTATATGCTTTCGAACAGTACTAGTCTATAGACTTCACCTGTCTATTCTTAGTCGATAGTGTTTCATTAAGGTGACTCTTGCTAAGTCCTTCTAAGCTTTAAGTAAATTTATTTAAAAGAGAATTGAGTCTAATCTAGCACATTAATCTTTAGATACTCAACGTATTCAAAATATGTATTAGCTTATAAGACTTTTTGGACTATCCAATATCCTTAGGTAGGTTGTACGCTTTTATAATAAATGTGCACCTATTATATATATATATTATTCTTCGTCTTGCATAAATTTTATAAGGGCTTACATATGGCTGACAACTTTCACATATTTATAACAAGTAATATTAAGTAGGCGTTTGGCCATGCGATATCATATCACGATATGGTATCGTGAGATGAAATCAGCGTTTGGACATGCGATTTTACGCTGATTTCATCTCATGATTCCATATCATGAGAGGTGATATCATATTCTCCAAAAACCATGATATGAAATCACCATATCATGATTTGAGATATTTTAATACAACAATTGATCCATGAGTTTATATTTTGTTAAAACAACCCCACATTTATATCTACTAACCATTTGTTTCATATGTAAATAAAATTTATAATCACATCATTACTTTTTAAAATTTATTATTCTCACCGACATAAAAT